ACTCAGGCTCCGGCGTTGGCTCGGCGGCCAACGCAGGTATGGGGCTCATCTTGGGGTATGTCGGAGGGAGCCACATTCCCGCCGATAAGAAGGCCTCCCACGCGGAGATGCTCATGTCGGGAGGCAAGAGCGAGGACGGTCGAGGTGCGTTGCTTGTGGTGGAGGAATTCCGCAACCTCGCCTCTTTGATCCGAGTATACAAGCAGGATCAGGAGACAGAAAATGGGGGAAAGGGAAAAGCTGGGTCGTACAGCTTCTCGGACGATGTGATCCAAAAGTTGCAAGGGCGGGTTTGGCTGCCGGGTGGAAAGGTGGTGGTCAAGAATTAGGGCTGGATGGAAAGGAATGAGGGAGAAAAGATGACAAATGTCGGAATGTTGTCGACTGTTTCCCCATATTAAGGACGACATAGGATTTTAAAATTTTCAAATTGTGATGTTGTTTCTTTGACTATCCTAGTGAGGCAGATTGAGCTTTTTTCTTCAAGAAAATGTGACTGCAAAAGCAGTTGAAAAAGGCCCACACAGCAAGTAGGATAGAATTGAAAGATTAGCTCGAGGTGTCGAAGATGGTACCCCAAAAAAACATCTGAAAGGTTGCGCAAGGAATGATAAAATTAGGGACGTGGGACATGGAAATGATGCTATCTGCGAAACTTTCTTAAACTTTCTTTGATTAGCCAAGGTCCTTTATTTCAATCTTGATTTGAAAATAGTTCAGGGACAGGATTGTATAATCCAGAAAGCACTTAAAATTGCAACTCTCGAGGTTGCTGCGCACCTCGAACCTAGATTTTGTTATCCGATGTGGCTATTGAAACTTTCGCTCATCAAAGTCATCAACTTCAAGATTGCACAGTCGTTGAACGACAAAAATGCAGCGTTGTTAGAGGCCTGAGCTCGTTTTAGATAGAAGACGGGAAAGTAGTTCGAAAACCGTTATGGAGCGAGCACAGGTGACGCCATGCTTGCGTTCGTAGGGGAACTGGCTTGTGACTTACTTCTTTCAAGCAAAAAACTGATTTCAGGACCCCGTGGGGGATGCAATAAGATATAGTTTCAAAGATAGGTGCTTTTACATCTGAATTTTCCATTCGAAAGTGGATGGAATAGAAATAAGTCTTGTATGCATGCCCCCGTTCGAGGTAACTGGGGCCTCGTGAAATGGGCCGAAAAGACTGGATGCAGTTGACCACAAAGGATGTACGGGGCAAGAGGCAGTGTCCTATGTACGTGCGTCTATGGTATCAGAAAAGACAGAACGGAAATTTAGTTGCCTTCTATCATGTCGACGCTGTACGCTGAAGCCAGTCCGTCGAAAGAGTGGGTGCTCTCTAATCAAATGCGCGCTTCTCCAAGGATACTATTCTTCTTGCCCAGCCAAACGGATTTCACGACGCAATCCTCACTTAAACACTATTTAAATTCTAGCTTGTCATAGACTTTATAACTCTCGCACGTAGCGCGGATTTTGGCGTCACCCAGCGCCATGGGGCGGTAAGTGTGGGCTCTCATCGACATGCGCTTCTCCCAGCCCGTGTTTCCTGCTTCCCTCCTTTTCTGTAGCGCTCTTTACTGAGTTTGGAGATAATACCACTTTTTCCAGGATATCCAATAATATGTTCATTTGCTGACTCCTTTCCTGGTAATTGTTCTGTTCTTTTGCGGCATTCACGCTAAATTTTCTGCCATACTTTTACCCTACAGCCTCCTGCTCCTCGTCCGCCACCTCTTCCCCTCTGTACTCCTCTTCCTCAGGCCCACCGCCCCTGCCGACGCCAATCCCCCTCCTTCCCTCCGTCGTGCAAAACCCGCATCAGTCAGCCTGGCGACAGATATTGTGTCCTGGTGGTGGAATGATCCGCTTCCGCCTCCTCCCGAATACAAAGGGGATCCCTTCCTCACCTTGGGGGAGAGGTTTGGACGCCCAGCCCGGGTCGTTCTGCCCAACACGTACAACGAGACACGCAGACTTTACCCGCTGGTCTTAGTCCTGCATGGGTGGAAGAGCAATGGTGGGTGGAACGTCGGAGGAGGATGGGGAGGACGGGCAAGGGAGAGCTTTGGACAGTGGAGAAGGATGGGGAAGACGGGCAAGGGAGAGCTTTGGACAGCGTCGGTAGATGACGCTTGGGCTTATGAATAGTGACCTCGTGCAGCATTTCCAATGCTTGTTTAATACCACCATTTATATTTTCCACTCTCCATGATCCTCACATGGTTCCTTTCCCCTCTGCGTGACAGGCGACTACCACGATTTCTACTTGGGTGTGAGCGCCCGGGCTTCGGATCCTCTTCTGGGAGGGTTCATCGCCGTCATTCCTAACGGCACCTGGGATGCCGTGCGGCAGGTAGGAGGCTAGGGGAATACTCGGAGAGGCAAAGGGAAAGGGGGTGTCGTGGACTCCTTGGGACTACTCCCTTAGAGTCTAGCCATGCCATCTCGGGGTATCGATGCCAGCGACGGCTTGTCCTTACATAGGCAGGTATTTATTAATTCATCTCGATAATTTATGTAATTTTTCTTCCCTTTCCCATTTTTCTCCAATGATTTTTCTTCCGTTCTCCTGTCAGAGCCGGTTCTGGAACGCAGGCACGTGTTGTGATTATTCTCGGAGCAACGTGGACGACGAGAAGTATTTGACGGGGTACGGCAAGCCCTCTCTTCCCCTTTCTTCGATCTCGCCCACCCTCTTGCCCTCCCTCATCCCTTCCCGCCATCGTTCTTTCCTTCATCTCTGTTTTGCTCATTCCTGCTTCTATTCTTAATTCCTGCTTTCTCTGTTCACCTTCAATCCCATTGCCTTCCCTCCCCCTCTCCCTTCTCCTCTCCTTGACCTGTCTTGCTACGTCCCTCCTAAAACACCTGGCTCCAGGGCTCATATCCTTCCCTGTTCCCCCTCGTTCCTCCCCTCTCCGCTTCCCTCGCTCTCTCCCGCTCTCCTCGCGTCGCGTGCCGAAGGCTGATGGATGAGGCACACAGCAAATACCGCGTCGACTCGGAAAATGCTTACGTCGTAGGCCATTCCAACGGCGGCTTGATGGCCCAGGTAGTACCCCTCCCTCCCTCCCTCCCTCACTCCATTCCTTTCCCCTATTCAACCTACCTGCCTGTCATCGATCATATCATCCTTCCCGCCGCCCCTACTGCTGTCCGCCCACTGTTCCTCCTCTCTTATGCTTACATCTTCGGCCTATTAGCGGGTACGATGCCCTCCAATACGAACTTATGCCCCTCCCTCCCTCCGT